TGTAAAATGTCATATATATTACATCGGGATATATATTTGGCTTTTAATGCAACATCACGAAAAATCACTTTTTTTCTCTAGTACTTACTATTTTATGTCTTTCTAATTTCAAAGTTTTTGACTAGTTGTCATCACAGAATTATAGAAATATAATTCTTTTTTTTTTTGTTGATAAATCTAGAAATATGATTCACTAATATTTTTCTGTCTTTTACAGGTTTGCATTTTTTTTTTTTTTTTGAACTTTCAGGTTTGCATTTCAGTTATAAAAGATTTTACTCTCCCTCGGTTTCACGTACACAAAATTTCCTCAACAACATTAAATCTGTGGGGAAATTGCTGAATATGACTCAAAATTTGAGTTGAAATGCAAAACTAGACCCCCTATTGCATGTTTGACAAAAATAATTCACAGGAGTAGTAAAATTACAACTTTAATCCTTATGACCAAACAAAAAAACGTCAACCTCAATTACTATTTTATCCTAGAGAAGTCTACTCGAGAAGTTAAGTAGACTTATCGAGTAGACTTCTCCAAGAAGTCTACTCTTTAATAATATGTTTACAATTAATTTTAAAAATCATAAAAGATAATTTAATAAAAAAATTAGATACATAACAACAAATATATACTTTTTACACCTATTAAAAATAAATTTTGACAGAAAATAATCAATTTAAATCATCATAGATAAATTAGGATAAAAATCAATACTAAGAGACTTCTGGAGTAGACTTTTCGGTTTCTCGAGTAGACTTCTCGAATAGACTTCTTGGAGAAGTCTACTTACACGAATTTTTTCCTACATATATAAGGAGAGTTTAACCTAATTGTATTAACAACAAAATCTCTCTCTATCTAAAAAACGCCTCTCTCTCTCTCTCTCTCCCTTCTCTCTGGCCATGAATTTCTTTTCCTTCCTCTCTTGCTATCAATATCCTCTCCATCCTCTCTATCTTGCATTCAACCTCCTCTCACTTGCAGGTTATGGTAGTGGTAAGCAAATCTGAGCTTTTGTGTTCCTTTTTTTATTTGCTTTGTGTTCATATTGCAAATCTGAGATTATTATTATAGATTTGAGCTTATTGTTGTAGATCTAAGTTTATTTTTGTAGATATGAGTTTATTGTTGTGTAAATTTTGTAGATTTTGTTAATTTTTGTTATTATTGCAGAGCTGAATTTTGTTGATTTTTGTACAGATCTGAATATTATAAATATAGTAGATTATTATTATAGATCCGAGCTTATTAGTTTAGATTTGAGCTTATTGTTGTAGATCTAAGTTTATATTTGTAGATCTGAGTTTATTGTTGTATAAATTTTATAGATTTTGTTCTAGATCTAATTTTTTCGTTATTGTTGCAGAGCTGAATTTTGTTGATTTTTTTTGCAGATCTGAATGTAAACTTCTCGAGTAGACTTCTCGATCTCGAGCAGACTTCTCGAGTAGACTTCTCGATCTCGAGCAGACTTCTCAAGCAGACTTCAGTTGCATACATAGTTTTCAGAGATTTTAGTTTACTAGTCATTTCTTATGCCAAATTTAAGATTTATAATTAGTGATTCTTAAATGTTTGTTTGTTTAGAGGGTTATTTTCTATGTAATGTTGAATTGCATTGAATGTTTTGTATCAAATTCCTAAATTATCTATGTTTATCTATTTTACAAAATAGACTTCTCCTGTCTCGAGTAGACTTCTTAAAAACATTAATTTAAGTGATTCAGAGGGACATTTCTCCTATTTATATCATATAACTTGTCAACCGAGTAGACTTCTCTTGTCTCGAGTAGACTTCTCCTGTCTCGAGTAGACTTCTAAAAGACATTAATTTTACATAACTTAAAAGTGATTCAGATGGACATTTCTCTCATTTATATCATATAACTTGTCAACCGAGTAGACTTCTCTTGTCTCGAGTAGACTTCTCCTGTCTCGAGTAGACTTCTAAAAGACATTAATTTTACATAACTTAAAAGTGATTCAGAGGGACATTTCTCTCATTTATATCATATAACTTGTCAACCGAGTAGACTTCTCTTGTCTCGAGTAGACTTCTGAAGTAGACTTCTCATTGTCTCGAGTAGACTTCTTAAAAACATTAATTTTACATAACTTAAAGGTGACAACATTCGCCCTCCTTTGCTATTCACCCTCCTTTGCCAACATTCACCAAGAAGCTCACCATGTGTGCAACCATCTCTTAAGAACAACATTCACCCTCCTTTGCTATTATCCACCTCGAACTGCCACACTGATTCACTCTTAACCCATTCTCCATAAACAGCGGGTATGTGAGCCATTCTCTGTGAAAAAAAACAAAATCCAAACCACATTAGACATCAAAATTGCATAAGTAGACTTCTCTGAAAGTCGGATGAAGTCTACATAGTAGACTTCTACAGTAGACTAAGAAGTCTACTCTTAATAAGCTAAGTATCATATAAAACATGAAAACTCATTCGACTATACCTATAAAATATAAACATGCAAAACTTATACATAAGCAAGAAAACTTAATAACAGAAGCTTAGGATCACGAAAATCTTAAAAATTCGTTATATATTGTATAAAAATGATTTTTTTTAAAAAACAAGAAAAGTAGACTTCTCGGATAAAAGTAGACTTCTCGCAGGTTAGTTTTGTAATTGTCAAAATATTAGTAGACTTCTCTATGAAAAGTAGACTTCTCCGCAGGTCATTTTTGCAATTGTAAAATATTTGACTTTTTGGTCAATTGCAAAAATGACCTGCGAGAAGTCTACTTACGGAAGTAGACTTCTCGCAGGTCATTTTTGCAATTGAAAAATATTTGACTTTTTGGTCAATTGCAAAAATGACCTGCAAGAAGTCTACTTGCAAAAGTAGACTTCTCCGAGAAGTCTACTTCCATAAGTAGACTTCTCGCAGGTCATTTTTGCAATTGACCAAAAAGTCAAATATTTTTCAATTGCAAAAATGACCTGCGAGAAGTCTACTTGCAAAAGTAGACTTCTCGGAGAAGTCTACTTTGCATAGAGAAGTCTACTCTACAAAGTCAAAGGTTGGTCAATTGCAAAAATGACCTGCTTCTAAAGAAGTCTACTCGAGAAGTCTACTCTATTTTTTTTGTTATCAAAGGAAATTGAGTAGACTTCATTCAGACCAAAATAAGTCTACTTTTTCATGCGGTCAATTGCAAAACTAACCTGGGCGTTGACTAGTAGACTTCATTCGGACCAGAGAAGTCTACTTTCAGAGTATTTTCGTAAATAAGTGAGGAAGATGAGGATTAGTTGGTCATTTAGATTTTCGAAAATAAAAGAAATTAATTAAAAATAATGGCAATTTCGTGAATAACTGAAACTATGAAGGATTGTTTGGACATAAAATGATAAATGTTGGGAAAGTGATTTTTGTGGGTTAGATTTGCAATTCAAATCAAATTTTAGGTTATTTTTGCAAGAATCCCTAAATCTGTTTCTTTATTCTATTATTGTGGGACTTGGACATCCAGTTCACTTAGGGGTGGTACACGGACTCTGAAATTTTAAGGAATTTGGATCCTTCAAATCCAAAAAGCTACTATTATCTAAATCCCGACCAAAAAATACTTATAAATATCCAAATTTAATATGTATTTATTTAAAATAATTAAAATAATATTATCAAATTATTAAAACAATGAAATAAACTACAATATTAAATTGAATATTTATTTTGGCGATATATAAAAATATTATGCTATTTATATATATATATATATATTAAAAAATATATGTGAAATCAGATCCAAATATCATGATCTTTCAATCTAATTGTATTCTTTCAGATTCAAACACTTCAAATATTGTATTTTTTTATAGATCAGATATAATTGGATCTCGAATTCCAAATATTTTACCCATCCTCCAAGTATATGGGATAAAAGTTGCCAAAAAGACGCAGGAAAAAAAAGTCTTCTCCAAAATGTCATCCGTAACTTTCTTCATAATTTGAACCCTAATGTTTTTCGTTAAAGACAGTTGACTCTATTTGTTGTGAGTATAAAAAAATACATTTGACTTTTTTTAGTGCCACCAAGATTCTGACAAAACGAATTATATCCATGTTAATCAAGTGCTACAGAACGTGACCAAATTAATTAAGCTACATATCAGGGCCTTGATCAGTGGTCCAATCATCATCCAACTAGATAAACCCAGCTTGATAATATAATTGTCTTGATAATAAAATTAACTAAATCGGTTTAGGATTTTATCAAAAAACTAAATCGGTTTATTTTAGTTTTAAATTCGGCATATAGAGAAATTTCGATTTGTTTGGTTTGGTTATCGTGTGGTCATAACTTGCCGGTGGCATTGCGACGGACACGTGGGTTGTAGGTGTATCACGTGACCCCATCGCAACTACCGTTATTTAAAATGCACTACTTGATTTCCCAGATTCTTATGTACATCTGTGCTTCCCCTCTTCAATCTATTTAGTTATGTTTCCAAAAAGACATGAACGAATATTTATTACTTTTGTGTCTTTCCTAAGTTAATTGTTTCTAAAAACGAAAAAAAAATCTCAACTCTATCTTTTATTATTGTGTGACGTCGAAGAAGAAGAAGTTTGGAGTTTAAGGCTTTGAGCTGTAGAAACCGGTTTAATTCGGGTTGATTTGATTTGGTTTTCTAGATTTGTGTGTAGTAAACTAATTTAATTAATTCAGGTGATTTAGCACAAAAGCAAACAAAAATAAAGATCGCCTGTACTGTCTATTCTCTTCCTCCGTCTTCCACCATTTCGAAAAATCTCAAACTCACAGAGAGAGAGATCCTTACATACACTTTTCTTCCGTCCCGAAAACCCTAATCCTCCGATCTGCTTAACCTCCGATCAGGGCACTCCCCCTGAAACCTCGATTTGTACCAGATTCAGTGGTTCCCCGATTCTTCGCCGTCTCGGGGGCGAATGGCATTCCCGTGAAAAGCAGTGATGAAATGAAATTGGCGGTGAGAAGTCATTTCTATCCATGGGCGTAGCAGAGGTGTTGCGCTCGAGCGCGAGGCTGCTGACGACGAACTCGCCTCTGTCGCAGCAGCAGCTCAACGGCGGCTCCTCCCACGGCGGTAACAAGGGCGCGCTGTGGAAGTGGCGATCTTTCTCGGGTCAGCCCAAAAGAACCGTAATGTGGACATGGGTTTGCGGTTTCATGCTTTTCTCCTTAGGGGTCATCTCACTCTTCACCGGTCACGTTGTCTCCCACCTCGAGTGGTATTCTCAGCAAAAGCGGAGCTTACTGGTACCTCTCTAATTGCAGCTTCAGCTACTTACACTGTTCTTCTGCTCAATTTTGTATGGATTTAGGTTCAAGGACTTTTGATTTTTCTCCCTCTCTGAGTCTTGAAATTGGATAATTCTCAGGATATGAGCCGTAGGGAACCAATTGATGTATGGAAGTCAAAATACTCCAAGTTCTTCTATGGATGCAGTGAAAGAGGAAGGAACTTCCCACGTAAGTGTCAGATCTCCGTACATTAGTGAAGCTTTTTAAAAAAAATTGATCTTGGATTCTAGTAGAAAAAGTCTACGACTTTATTGATCTAACTGCAAATTTGGCTCTGCCCTTTTTAGCTGTTGATGTACAACTAAATTATGCTTCAGTATCTTCTGTTTTTTTGTAAAACTGAAAATTTGTTGTTTAGTTAAAATGTTCTTCTCACGTTTTTTTTTTGTGTTCATCTTGTTTTGGGCATGCAGCTGCTGTCCAGGAACACTCGTCTAATGGGTATTTGCTGATTGCAGCTAGTGGAGGTTTAAACCAGCAAAGAACAGGAGTAAGTGATGTTTTGTCTCAATAGTAAATGTGTTAGGATATTGCCCATTCGTGGTTTATATTGCTACTGTGTGTTTGTTTCGAGACTGAAGATTCTCTTTTATGAGCAGATAACAGATGCAGTGGTTGTTGCACGGATTCTTAATGCTACTTTAGTTGTACCCGAGTTGGATCACCATTCTTATTGGAAAGATGACAGGTAACAATTCAAGGTTCCTAGGGGAATGAATATGTTTGTTGCACAAACATTTACTGAAAGAGTTTGCTTTGTTCCTTGTGCAGTGACTTTAACGACATTTTTGACGTTAACTGGTTCATCTCTTCCCTCACCAAAGATGTGACTATAGTAAAGAGAGTTCCTGACAGAGTCATGCGGTCGATGGAGAAACCTCCTTATACAATGCGTGTGCCTCGAAAGTCTACTCCTGAGTATTATCTCGACCAAGTATTGCCAATGATCTCGAGGAGGCGTGTAAGACTACTGTTTTACCTAAAAATAACATTGTATTACTATCATCATGTCAAGCCAAGTTATGTTTGTTTCTGTAGTCCCAAATATTTCGATGGTTCTGTTTCAATTACGTATGGTAGGAGCCTGTTCATGCTTCTTGAAATCTTGCAGGTTGTACAATTGACAAAGTTTGACTACAGACTAGCGAATGATCTAGACGAAGACATGCAAAAGTTGCGGTGCAGGGTCAACTATCATGCTCTAAGATTCACAAAGCGCATACAGTCAGTCGGAATGAAAGTGGTCAAGAGGATGAGAAAGATGGCCAAACGTTTTATCGCTGTCCACTTGAGGTTTAACCACTTACTTAAATTAATGGTCTTTCGTTCATGCATGGCGTTTGGATCTTCATGTTATGCACATAACCATACATATCTCATTTGCAGGTTTGAGCCTGACATGCTAGCTTTTTCTGGTTGTGACTTTGGCGGGGGCGAAAAAGAGCGAGCCGAGCTAGCAGAAATAAGAAAACGATGGGACACATTGCCTGTGAGTTTCACCAACCTCTTTTACATAACTTTCTTAAATTCCCAAATTTGTCTGCATACAGGCGCAATGAACTTAACTTGAGATGTGTATTTTTGTGTAATCATCATAGAATACACCCGAATCCTTTTCTCATGTTTATGTTGTTTGGAGTTACAATATCTCACTAGCCAACCACCGCAGGATCTGGACCCTCTGGAGGAAAGAAAGCGTGGGAAATGCCCTCTTAACCCTCATGAAGTGGGCTTAATGCTGCGCGCTCTTGGTTTTGCTAATGACACATACATCTATGTTGCGTCTGGAGAAATATACGGTGGTGAAAAGACACTGAAACCACTCAGAGAGCTCTTTCCAAACTTTTACACCAAGGAAATGCTTGCCAGTGACGAGCTCAAGCCTCTGCTTCCCTTTTCTTCACGCCTTGCCGCCATTGACTACATAGTCAGCGACGAAAGCGACGTCTTCATCACCAATAACAACGGAAACATGGCCAAGATTCTAGCAGGCCGAAGGTGACAAACGAACCTTTCTACTTGTTCCCACTAGTTGAGGCTTAACCCTATCAGAGATGAGAAACCTCAGAGCTTTGTTGTGTGATTACAGGAGGTACAAGGGGCACAAGAGGACCATCAGGCCAAATGCAAAGAAGCTCAGTGCATTGTTCATGGACCGGGAAAAGATGGAGTGGCATACTTTCGCCAAGAAGGTGAAATCTTGTCAGCGAGGATTCATGGGTGATCCAGATGAGTTCAAGCCAGGACGCGGCGAGTTCTTCGAGTACCCACAGTCCTGCATTTGCCAGGGACCTTTCTCTTACGACAGAACCTCGACAGACGATGAAGAAGAAGACACGCCAGATGAGGTCCACAACACCACCAGCTCTGGACATGTACATTTGTCTTCAGCAGACAACGAGCGCGACGAAGTTTTCCCAGACTAGCATGTTTGGTTCTGCTGCATCAAATGGATGTTTGCTGGATTTTTTACTGTAACCAGGTATGTCAAAAATCCAGACTTTGGTTAGGAGAAGCATAAACATACAAACCATAAGAAGAGTCTTAATGGTTTAACTAATAAGATATGTTGATTTCAGCTGTTGTAAGGAGATTGATCAACAGACGTAGAGGAGAGAGAGGAATAGCAGCTTCACACGTAGCCAGTTACTTTGTTGCTTTCAAGTGTTCATAGATACTTCTATTGAATAGGCATACGTAACCCACCTCTCTCATTGTTTCTTTCTGATCTTGAAACACCACTAAAACTATATATCTCGTCTTGTATTTGTCTTATATTACCTCAAATCTAGTGTGTTTTTTGTTTTTCTGGGTCTTTTTTTTTTTGTATTCCCTAGATTTTCTGAAGTGTAAAATCAAGTTTTTCCCTCACTCCTAACATCTTTTGTTTGTATTTCATTCTAAAATCGGGGGAAAATGTGTATTTTTGGATCTATTTCAGTTTAAGTTTAATTATTTCATCTTTTACCATCATTTTCTTTTAAGGCTATACTTAATAACTAACATCGGCCAAATCCATTATCAGACCTTAATCCAAACGGGTCTGAAAAGTGAAAACCAGGGCATTTGGGGTAAACCCTCTCCTTGCGCGAGAGGCTTTCACCTGGATTGACCAAACAACACTCCAGACTTCTAGGCCTACCACTCTACCACAAGCGTAATCACCAACACACTAAGCGTCTCACAATTCAACACGTGTCCGGTTTTACACGTGGAATATTTCCATTGGTGGTATATCTGAATCACACTTCCACCTCAGTATTGCTTTCTTGTTTTTAATTTTGTTTTTTGATAAAACGACTCAGCGATTCTCTTCTCCGTTAATATATATGCACTCTTGTCTCTCCGTTTGTTTACTTTTCTCTAGAACCAGACGGAAAACTTTGAATCTGCAAATCGATTCCCCCCGGAGAATGCGATCGGAGCTCGGAAACTGGTATTCATCTTTTGCTTCACACTCTCAAATTACTGATTGTTCCATCAAACATTCTTAGATTCAACTCACCTGCCCCTGATTACTTTTTCTCTCGTCGAGCATTGGAAATTTCCACGAATGTCGTCACTGTTTGTTTGCTGAGAACATCGCTTAATCTAAACCATTCGTCATCGATTCCATGTGCGCGACTAGTTTTTCCTCTGCGGTAGTCTGTGCTAAGCTTTTCTAGAGCTGATTAATCGTGTATCTCATCGGCGGTGATCGATTCTAAGTTCACACCGAATCGCTGTTTTTTTCTTTGGATTTATTCTGCTTCTAGGGTTTTTGATTCTAATGCCGCTGTTTGTTTTTTCCTGCAGAGGAAGTGCGGCTCTACTCTCGGTGTTTTAGTTAACGATCGGAACATGGGGAAGTTCTTTACCGGGTTAGTGGTGCTGTTGTCATTGCTCTCTTTGCTCCCTGTTCCATCGGAATCGGCTGTTTCGAGTGTAGATCTAGGTTCGGAATGGGTGAAAGTCGCCGTAGTTAACCTGAAACGAGGACAGAGCCCAATCTCTGTAGCCATTAACGAGATGTCGAAGAGGAAATCCCCAGCTTTAGTTGCATTCCAATCCGGCGACAGATTACTGGGCGAGGAAGCTGCAGGAATAACAGCTCGTTACCCGAACAAAGTGTATTCACAGCTGAGGGACATGGTAGGGAAACCTTTCAAGCACGTCAAGGATTTCATCGACTCCGTGTACTTGCCGTTTGATATCGTGGAAGATTCCAGAGGTGCTGTTGGTATTAAGATCGACGACGGCTCGACTGTTTACTCGGTGGAGGAGTTGTTAGCTATGATCTTGGGCTATGCCTCGGATTTAGCGGAGTTCCATGCGAAGATCCCAGTGAAGGATATGGTTGTTTCGGTTCCACCTTACTTTGGACAGGCTGAGAGGCGGGGTTTGATCCAGGCTTCTCAGCTGGCTGGTGTTAATGTCCTCTCGCTGGTTAATGAGCATTCCGGTGCAGCTTTGCAGTATGGGATTGATAAGGATTTCTCGAATGGGTCGAGGCATGTTATATTTTATGACATGGGTTCGAGTAGTACTTATGCAACCCTTGTCTATTACTCTGCTTACAATGAGAAGGAATTTGGCAAGACTGTTTCTGTCAACCAATTTCAGGTAAACAATGCTCTTCATTGTTTTCTTCTTGGAACATGTGTGACTCATGTTTTTTCTTTTAGTTTGGTCTCAGTTAGAATGGTTTTCCTTACGGGTCAAATGTATCTTTGTGAACGTAGGTCAAGGATGTTAGATGGGACTCGGGACTTGGAGGACAGAGTATGGAGATGCGCTTGGTAGAGCACTTTGCAGATGAGTTTAATAAACAGCTCGGTAATGGAGTTGATGTGAGGAAGTTCCCCAAAGCAATGGCTAAACTAAAAAAACAAGTCAAACGTACAAAGGAAATTTTGAGTGCAAACACTGCGGCTCCAATATCTGTTGAATCTCTCCATGATGATCGTGACTTCAGGTATAACCACAATCTATCAAGGTTTCTGTATTTTCCCAGCTTAATGAACCTTGGCTGCATAAGTGTTGAACTGATATCACATTTTCGAATTTGCATCATGATTGGTCTAATTTGTGTGATGTGTGTGATATTCTAACCCAAGTTACATCTTCTTTCAGGAGCACAATTACCCGTGAGAAGTTTGAGGAGCTGTGTAAAGATCTGTGGGAGAGATCTCTTACACCTTTAAAAGATGTGCTCAAGCATTCAGGTTTGAAGATTGATGATATATATGCAGTGGAGCTAATAGGAGGAGCTACTAGAGTCCCCAAACTACAGGTAGATTTTCATGCTCTCGAAGCCAATCAATTCGACTTCTTCATCCTAAACTGTGGGATTTTCTCGCTTTATTTTTCTCAATTGAAAGTAAAGATCTGATTTTTTTATATGACAGAGCACGATCCAGGAATTTATTGGAAAACAAGATTTAGATAAACATCTGGATGCTGATGAGGCTATTGTCCTTGGCGCATCGTTACATGCTGCTAACTTGAGCGATGGAATCAAATTGAAACGTAGGCTGGGTATAGTTGATGGATCCCCCTATGGATTTCTAGTTGAGTTAGAAGGCCCAAATGTTCAGAAAGATGAGACCACAAAGCAACAACTCGTACCACGGATGAAAAAGCTACCCAGCAAGGTACAGCATTACATTCAAAACCTTTTGAAGCTTAGCAATTTGTTGTCTATCTTTTAGTAATTCTGTGTACATGGTTCTCTCACAGATGTTCAGATCCTTTGTCCTTGACAAAGATTTTGACGTGTCACTTGCATATGAGTCCGAGGAGATCCTACCCCCAGGAATTACCTCCCCTGTGTTTGCACAGTACTCTGTTTCTGGTTTGGCCGATACAACTGAGAAGTAAGTGCTTAAAGCTTGTTTTCTTATTGTTCAATATGTGGAATCTTCGAATAAATTGATAAATGTAAGTTTTTGATCTGGACAGATATTCTTCTCGGAATCTGTCAGCACCTATCAAGGCAACTCTGCATTTCTCTCTCAGTAGAAGTGGGATTCTCAGTCTAGATCGGGGAGATGCTGTAGTTGAAATCACAGAATGGGTAGAAGTTCCGAAGAAGAACGTGACTATTGATAGTAACACAACCACAGCAACAGGCAATGCCTCTGATGAGAATTCACAAGAAAATAAAGAGGAGATACAAGCTGATGCTGGAAACAGCACTGCTTCGAATACAACAGCAGAAGAGCCAGCTGTGGCTGACCTGGGCACAGAAAGAAAGCTGAAAAAGCGGACATTCAGGGTTCCTCTGAAGGTTTGTATTCTGGCTTAAGTGTTTCCAAGACCTTTTTGATTCGTGAGCAATACAACTAACCAATTCTGTTTGAATATATGGCTTGTAGGTAGTTGAAAAAACTGTTGGACCTGGAGCACCTTTTTCGAAAGAGTCTCTTGCTGAAGCTAAGATAAAATTAGAAGCCTTGGACAAGAAAGATAAGGAAAGAAGAAGAACAGCTGAGTTAAAGAACAACCTTGAGTCTTATATCTATGCTACTAAAGAGAAGGTGTGTGCTTTATATAGATCACTATCTGGCTACTTCATGGTTCTTTTATTGCTGTAGCCTTTGCTTTCCCTATTCTGTATTATTGTTTTTAGTTGGCATTTAGTTTTACTTTGGTCCTTGTACAGCTAGAAACACCTGAGTATGAAAAGATCTCCACCGAAGAAGAGCGCAAGACGTTTATTGAGAAGCTCGATGAGGCATGTATCAGTTTTTCTTTCGAACTATTTATACCATTGGGTTCCAATAAAAAAGTGTAAGCGTATGACATTGAGGGGTGTGTTGTGTGCTTCAGGTGCAAGATTGGCTTTACATGGACGGCGAGGATGCTAATGCCACAGAGTTTCAGGATCGGCTTGATTCACTAAAAGCCATTGGCAGTCCCATATCTTTACGGTTTGTTTTCTGCTCATTTTTTTTATTGAACCGGAGCTTGATGAAATTATTGTTATTAAACCATTTTCTATACATCTGTAACAGATCAGATGAGCTAAAAGCACGTCCAGTAGCAGTTGAATACGCTCAAAAATACCTAACCGAAGTGAAGGAGGTACGCTGACTGATGATTACAGTTTTTCTCATGGTAAAAAGACACAAACGGCTAAGTTTCAACCACATTGCAGATCATAAAAGAGTGGGAGACGAACAAAACTTGGCTTCCAAAAGAAAAAATCGTCGAGGTTTGTTTGCTCATCTAACTGAAAACAAAACACACAGCTCTGTTTAAAATTTCTGGAGAGCTCTGCTAAATTGTGTAATTATTCAGGTCTCAAAGGAAGCAGAGAAAGTAAAAAGCTGGTTGGAAAAGAATGAGGCTGAGCAGAAAAAGTGAGTTTTTTTTTTTTTTTACTTTTGTTACCTCTCTCTCTTTCTTTTTACCGTCTTTAAATTACAAAGTTTTATAAACATCAAAACTTGTCACAGGACTGCTCTGTGGAGCAAACCAGTGTTCACCTCCGACGAAGTGTACGCCAAAGTATTTACTCTACAAGACAAGGTAAGAAAAGAGATTTGAGAAATATATATATATATATATATATATATATATAAAAATCAGTAATTCGAACAAAAAGGGTTTTCATATTTTTGGGTTAAATAAAAACTTATAGGTCACGAAGGTGAATAGGATCCCTAAACCAAAGCCAAAGATAGAGAAAGCAACCAAGAAGGAGAACACAACGAAGGAGGATGAACAATCAAAAACGTCAGACTCCAATTCCTCTGAATCTGAACCTGGCAAAGAAGAAGAAAGCCACGACGAGCTTTGATTAACATATATATATATATATAATAAATAGATTTTTCATTAAGCTTAAATTTTGTGTGTTTAAAACAGTCAAATAGGAGTTAGTAAAGCCCAAGCTGAGATGAGCGAAAAGGATTTTATTCCTTTCTCAACTTCTTCACATCACTTTAGAAAGGGGAATATTTATGTGTTTTCTTCATCATATCAAGTTTTGGTCTCATTTTCCTTTCTTTCAATTGAATCTTTAATATAGTGGACTTTTATATCTAACATCGGTTTTTTTTTTAACGTATACTAATCATTTTTGTTATTCAAGATCCGAATTAACAGTGTTAAAACTTAAAAAACAAAATAAGGGATTTTTATTACTTTGCTCAACACTAACTATGTGTTATTCATTGTGACGTGAACAACATAATCATTTCTAAATTTGACAAATACATTAAAGTGGAGTGTAGAGTGTATATGGGATTTAGTACTATCCGTAGTATATAAGCCATCGTACTTTCTTGGAACTATTTTGTGGATTGAAATTTCCTTTCAGGCTATCCACATTACTTTCTTTATATCAAAAAGTCGCATAAACATAGTGAGTGACTTCATCGTTAAAGGTAGGCACATTTTCATTCCGAATAACTAACCATATATGTCCCACGTTTTCAGTGAGCAATAATTAATACTAACCGACAATAATGGGTTTCCTATCTCCTTCGTCTCTCTTCATCGTCGGCCAAGCTTTGTAAAAGGATTTTTTCTTATTGGTTGAAACATATATACATTTATAATTTCGAAAGAAAAGAGAAGAAGAGAGAAGAGCTACAAGCTACGTATAGTCTTTAGTAGTAACTCTTATTTTTTTATGTCGCATTCATCAGTGTTTGTGTTTTGGAATAAGTATGTGGAAACAGGTTTGTTTGAGTAATACATTATGTATGTTTCATAAAATATTTAGCCTCCTTTGATAAAACAGGTGTGCCTTCTATTGAAAAGATTGGACAGAACTAGTATATTATATTTTCCAAAAAAAAATGTACTGATTAAAAGGCTACTTTGAAATCGAGAAATTATATTTACTTACTGAAATCTGCCGTTCAAAATGTAACCTAACACTTATTGAGTATAGATTTATAGTAAGTGTTATCAGCATTTGAGTTATTCTAATCAATATGCCAGTCTATATAACAGTTGTTTGTGGAGACAATACAAAAAAAATAGTTGGGGAAAGACAAATAAATAGAAAAATAAATGAAGCGTCGGTGTGAAGGTGATGATTAAAAACGCGTGAGAGATGGAATAGAAGAAAGAAAAGACACATAACATAATAAACACATTGAAATCAGGTGGAGGATGTCGTTCAACTTGTGCTTACTCTTCTTGACACTACAGCTCACGTACACCCAATTAACTTTTTTTTTTTATATATAGAAAATTATATCATTTCCAGTTCAACCCTAAAATAATATGAAAATTGGTTTCAAAAGTTTTTTGTTTTTATATCTTAAGAACCAGAATCAAACTAAAACATCAAATTTTCTTCTAAACCATTTGAGTTCAAAACAAAAACAAATGGAGTATTGTACTAAACCCGACATCCACTAACTAGATTCAGTTTCATTTTGGGCAACCATATTAATCAATCACTTAAATTAAACAAAAAAATTTTGATTTTGATAAAGTGGCATTGACTCAAGTCACTCAACCGGTACAAACATTCCAGATTTTATCAAATAAATTCTGATTCGAACATCTTACCCTAACAAATTAACATTTCTAGTTTATTTAGAGTTCCGCTTATGGACGTGTAATAGTTTGATGTATGGAAACATTAGTCGTACGTTAAATACCTAATTTACGGTAAATCAGACTAACTCTGACTGTAGCAGATTTAAGAGATTGATTTGGATTAGATCGTGTTTTCCCGTTTTTTTTTTTGTTTGTCAAGAAGTTTCAGCATATTAATTATTCAAGGTTGAAGTTATGACATATCCTTTTGTCAGAGCCTTTTTGGTTGATAAAGTTTTGTCAGAGCTTTTGGTCAATTGCAAAATCAAACGTATTAGAATTTGGTGTGTAAGTGTGGTGGGACTTGCAAGTTTGATCAATCAATCAATAAGGTTTCGTTTATATTAACGCACCGCCATAATGTGAAAGTGAAAGTGACGTTGTACCAATAAAAACAATGAATTCACCCTCATGCAAGATTTTGATTTTTGAGCTTCTTCCAGCTTTTTGTACCTCTCCTTGCCAACTTCGTTAAAGCTTACGTTTCGTTTAGTAAATTATTTTTCAAATCTTTCCAAAATAATTTACAATGAGAATGTATGTTTAATTTCTACGTAGTTTTGAATATTCTACCCGTAAATTACCTCGAACTCGAACTTTATAAGATACTAATCACGCTACTAGCTATGTGACTAAACTATATTTTGTTTTTATTAATTCAGTTGACTAAGAAAAGAAAAGAGAAACAACGTATATAACCTATGATGGGACCAGACAACACTATCCCATAGCATTATTGAAGTTAGGTTAGCTTTCATTGAATGAAAAGAAAATGAGGGTTATCTTCCAATCCCAAAGTGACAACGACTTGTCTCGTTTGGAACTTGAGTAATGAAGTACAGGATAAAACAAGAAGATGAGTCACTATATGGAAGATGATATAACCATTGCCAAAATAACTTTAACTAAACAAAAATCCAAGTATGAAAGCAGTAACCGAAAAATCATGACCACAATATAAAAACTGGCACGTAACGTATGAGAAAACCTCCGATTGATCATAGTTACGTAGTCTCATTTTGTAGCCGTTGTTGTTCTATTAGAAGTAAAATAACCTAAGCAACGTAAATTTTAACCATCAACCAAAAAACTCATGACGTTCAAACAAACGGTACTTTCACAAACCTAAAGATTTTGAAGTGTTTTGCCAAAATACAGTACTATGCTTTATTTGGTCACTCTAGATGCTTTAAATGCAAATGATATACGACACTTTCACGAACCCAAATGTAAAGATTAATCTGAATTTTGGTACATGATTGATTATTAAAAAACTAAAAAGACTCACATGAAAATAAATAAGCACAAGATCCACGTCTTGCATTAAAACTTGCCTTGTCAAAGAGGTTGTCTTTGACTCGTAAGTGTAGCCATCTCTCTATATATATCTACATCAACCATGGGGTGTGTGTGTCAGTGTGTTCATATATTTTTATATATCTAAAAGATATTTTCACATTATAAAAAAAGAGATTCTACACAGTGCACAAGCAAGTGTTTCGAATATTTTCCACAAAACTGAGATCTGAGCTAAATGGATCATGATCATATGTTAAACTTGGTTCCATGCGGACTACAAGAAGTAGCAGAGGAAGAAGAAATCGAGGAAAATGACGATAACGAGAGCGTCAATTTGTCGTCGGCGCCAGAAAATGAGATGTCAGAGTGTTCATCGTCTCCGGCGGCGTATCCTCCGATTCCTCCTCAGCCTAAAACTCCGAGAGAGCCGATGGAGTTTCTATGCAGATCATGGAGCATTTCTACGTCTGAGATCTCTATAGCTTTATCCTCTCAGAAATCTAATAAACAACTCAACAAAAATAATAAGTTTTCTCCGATGACCGCCGTCAGTTCACCGGCTCCGGCACCACCACCACCACCACCGCCGCTACTCGTAAGCCGTTCAACTTCTCTTTCGTTTGTGTACGATTTACATGATATTTTTGATACTAAAACAAAATAACGATTTTGGATGTATGTACTTGCAGTATTTTAATAAATTGGATTAATTAAGAAAGTATTTTAATAAATTAGATAGGTTGATGATGATATATCGTTTTTTGAGTCATCAACTACGTGTGAAATCATCATATTCATATAACCTCTCGTCTGCTTGGATAAGTAAAGTATTCGCTAATTACAATTAAATTTATGGGTCATAAATATATTCGTAGGCCCAAATCTGTAAAAAGCCCACGAGTTTTTTAACTGTTTCTTCGACAGACGGGAAAGATAGCGAGTGCGATTCACGCGCGGAGAACGGGAACGATCGGGAAATGGTTCCACCACCGAGAATTTGCCGGCGGAAGGGTCTCCGGCGTAAGGAAGAGAGATAAAGCTCGCGTGGAGAACGCGCATCTTCATACCGCCGTCTCGATTGCGTCTCTTGCGGCTGCCATCGCCGCCGTGACCGCTTCGGTCAACCAAGACGTCTTAACCTTAACGGAATCAAAGATGATGAGCTCAGCTCTGGCTTCGGCATCGGAGCTGCTAGCTTCTCACTGCGTCGAACTGGCGGAGCTCTCCGGCGCCGGTCACGATCGCTTGGTCTCTGCTGTCCGATCAGCCGTCGATGTTCGTAGCCCGGGCGATTTGTTGACTCTAACGGCTGCAGCTGCAACAGGTAAATTGATGATAATCGAGTTTCAATTAACCAGTCGCTGGTTTTTCTGATACCAATGCAGATTGAGTTGGTTCATCAACTTATGTTTTCCGGTGAAATGTAGCATTGAGAGGAGAAGCAGCTTTAAGGTCGAGACTACCAAAGGAAGCTAAGAACAATGCAGCTATAAGCCCTTGCGAAAGAGCTTTGCCAGAGACTCATGACTGTTTATCCGAGATTGATTGCGCCAGTAGCACAACCACCGATGAACATGTATCCACACAGGGAGTCGAGGAATTAGATTCGACCTGTACTGGAGAGCTAATGCAGTGCGCACGAAATGGTAAATGTTTCTTCAGCAAGGATTGCTTCTTCTTTGCTAATTTTGATTGTGAATGATGATGATATTATATTTCACATACCTTTGTGTGTGTAAAGAAGAAAATTTGCACTTACGACGAGATTGATGAATTGAGTCATGGATTTTTCAGGAGTTCTGCGGGGGAAGCATGTAAAAGTGTACATCAACAAGAAATCTCAGGTTAAAAAATCGAAAACTCATCAAAGCAAACAAAAGTTTTATACTTGTCAAATTGTAGAGTTGACCTTTTTTTGCTCGTTCTGCTCGTTGCAGGTCGTAGTAGAAATCAAAAGCAAACATGTTGGAGGAGCGTTCTCCATGAAAAGCAAAGGTAGGTGTTTACTCTGTATACGCCAAGGTAAAATCTTGGGACTTTTTGTTCGGTGCTTCACGTGAGTTATATAATCCAATGGTGGAATCTCTACAGGTATTGTAAACGATGTATGCGAGACAGTCTCGGACCTGCAAAATGGAAAAGAAACAGAAAACGCAGAAGAAGAGCTATATTTCGGAATCAGCACAGGGAAAGGCCTGACAAAGTTCAAGTGCAAGAGCAAGGCTGATAAGCAGACATGGGTCGATAGCATCCGGAATCTTCTCCATCGAGTAACTGCTGTTGAGGTTATCAACACTTCTCTTGAAACTACAAACATTGGCGATAGCACATAAGTCATTGCTTGTGTTATAACTGTATTAGTGTTGGTTTTGTTCATTTTATGTTTGTTTCAAGCACATATATCTGTAAGTACGCGTAGTGTTTATTTTTTTTCATCTTTTCTTGTTTTATCTCAGTCAGTTGTAAACATTCTTTCTAGAAATAATGAAGAAGATTATAAATAAGGATAATGAATCTCACCGGAGGAATGTCCAGGTGTTTCTCCATGGCTTCTTCCCCAATGAAAACCCCGGTAAGTTTCATTGTCACTGTTGAATTCTTGATTTTTCTTCTTTCTTTCTTATCAGTCGTCTATAGTCTCCACTTAATATACTCGAGAAAACTCAGAATCACGGGTTTATATAAAATGGAAACAAACAGTAGTTAGTATTATGGTGACTAAACATATAAGAAACTTTCAGGAGAGAAAAGGATGAAATAGTAATAAGTATCACAATTTTTTCAACTTGGTTCAGAAACAGTTGAACAGAAATTACTAAGTTTGGTTGTTACCTTTTTACTTTCTTCTTAGTAGTATCGACCTTCGAACTCGTGGATCTTCTGCTACTGCTGCTGCTCTGTGTTTTCTTTGGCCGAGTGTCTTCGATGTCTTTAAGCTTGTAGTAATGAGGAGCTATTTCAACTAGCCACTCGGGTTTCATCTCGGTTATATGCCTCATATATTCCTTGGTAGTAAACACTAGCTCATGATACACCAGCCACTTACTAGGCGACGCCCCACCAAACAAGCCAGAGTTAGGATGTACGTAAACAGTCTGAGGTTCTTTCACTCTTCTGTACGATCCATCCTTCTGTAACTTTGCAGAATGCGGGAAGAATCCCGCCAGGATCGCCTTCTTAACCGCGTCTAAGTCATCCGGGCTTGACTCAAGTTCTACTCCAATCTTCTTAAGAAGTCCAGCTAGCTGTTCACGTATATCTCTAGCTCTTCTCATACTCTTGCTCTGAATGTAGTTCTCGTAGCACCACTGGCTCGAGTAGTTTGTTTCCTTCCAGGCATTGTAAACCCTCAACAACGCAATGTGGTCGCCGACGTTCTCTGTGTAGAAATTCATCCTGGCATTGTCGGCAAGATATTGTTGGTTCTTTGGTCGATAAAAGATGGAGCTCCCCGTAGACAACATGGCGGCTATTGTGATTATCTCTTCCGAGCACTTGTACTTCTCCGAACCAACAATCATCTTTGATAGCATCGGGTCAACCGGAAACTCCACCATTCTTTCCCCAAGCTTAGTAATCTCACCGTTTACATCCAAAGCACCCAGAGCATAGAGCAACTCCAGAGCTTTTAACAGAGCGTTTTCAGGTGGAGGATCCATGAAATCAAAAGTGAACACATCTTGAATCCCAAGGCTTTTCAAAGTAAGTACAACACTCGCAAGGTTTGCCCTTTGGACTTCTGGTATTGTGGTGGCCTCCAAGTCCTTGACGTTGTACAACCTGAAACATTTACCCGGACCCGTTCTTCCAGACCGACCAGCTCGTTGCTCTGCGGAAGCCTTGGAGATAGGAGTTTCAAGCAGAGACTCCATTCCAGTTCTTGGGTTGTATGAGTTGAGCTTGCAGTACCCTGGATCAACTACGTACCTAATTCCATCAATGGTTAAAGATGTTTCCGCAATATTCGTTGCCAGGACAACTTTCCGCGATCCTTTAGGAGCCGGTTCAAACACTTTTGCCTGTAGTTCGGTCGGGAGATTTGAGTAGATTGGGCAGATAATGATCTCAGAGCTCTTTGTACCCAAATCCATCATCCGTAGCTTCAACTTCGTTTCTGCTGTTTCAATCTCTTCTTGGCCAGTGAGGAAAACCAAAACGTCTCCAGGTGGCTCAGTCTGATGGATCTGAAACACAGTGCGTATCGCTGTCTCCAACCGGTCAGGTTCGGGCCATTTTTGGAAGAGCTTTTCAACCCGGTATCTTCTTCCCGGAATCTTGTAAATCCGAGCTGAATCAAAATATTCAGAGAACTTTTCAGCTTCAAGCGTTGCACTGGAGATTATTAGCCTCAGATCAGGCCTAACTTTTGCTAAATCCTTCACTAACCCAAACAGGATATCAGTGGACAGCGTTCTTTCGTGCGCCTCATCAACCATGATGACGCTGTAGCTATCGAGCTTCGGTTCTATGAGAAGCTCTCGCAACAGCATCCCGTCAGTCATGTACTTCATTACTGTTTTCTCTGAGGTACAGTCTTCGAACCTAATGGAATATCCAACCTCGTGTCCGAGTTTCACACCCAGCTCTTGAGCCACTCGGGAAGCAACGCTCATCGCAGCAACTCTCCGAGGCTGAGTGCAACCGATCTTCCCACGCTTTGTGTAACCGGCTTCTTGAAGATACTGCGGTATCTGCGTTGTCTTCCCCGACCCTGTTTCCCCAACAATCACGAGAACCTGATTCTCTTCAATGAGTTTCAGCAATTCGTCTCGGTATGCATGAATCGGAAGCAGTTTCCTCTCTTCCTTAGCCTTTTCCGCAACTGTTCTCGTGTCACAAACTCGGTGTTTCTCAGTTTCCACCTCATCAGATGTCTCAACAAAACCTGTTAACTCGTCAAACACATACTCATACCCATCAGAAGCTTGACTCTTGTTCTTTGCGCCAAACTTCACTGTCGCTTTCTGAGCCTGATGATCTTCCCAAGCTTCTTGCTCAGTCATGCGTCTCCTGCTCGTTCCCTCGCTATAACGCTGCGTCGCCACAGCAAATCTCTTCCTCTGATCAATAACCCCTTCTTGATCATAAGCATCTGGAATTTTATAATAACAACCATCATCCCCTACTGTTTTCTTCAGCAGCTCATACATTTCTTTCTTGTATCTAAACTCAATTTCTTCTTTCTCAGTGAGCTTCACACCATCAAAATGTGATTGCTCAAATTCTATCTCATCCCTCAACTCCTCCAGCTTCTTCTCCTCCCTATTCTTCAGATACTCTCGTCTCGAGAGTTCCCTCAACCTCGCTATCTCATAGTTTCCCAAAACCTTGTCATCATCACCTTCTTCTTCTTTTTCCGATTCCCTTTTTCTCTTTCTAAAGATTTTATTTGGGTTATTCAGTTTAAATCTTACAGAAACAGTTCCGCGAGATATTTTCTCCTCCGCGATAAACCTATCTTCTTCATCGTCTTCTTCCCTATGCTTAAACAGATCGAGATTCGCAACCGATGATCGTACCTGAACTTGCGACTGCATCTCTTCCGCGAATTCAACGGTCTTCTTCTCCAGATCAGTCTCCATTCTTCGATTACACCAGAGATTTCCACGGAAGACGTTACGAGATATTGGGATTGAAACGGAACTCGAGCGAATTGCGATTTCTATTTGACAGAGAGCCCAACCCTAATTTTCAGAGTTGGTGTTTAGAGTTTCACCCAAAAGAACAAATCCTACATATATATTATAGTCTCAATTTGGTTTAGGAATTTCCTTTTTTTCGCACCTTTTTGTTTCTGTTGTTGCTTTGCCTTTTTTCCTTATTTATGATGAGAAATGTCAAATATACGTGACCAACAAGAAATATTCACTTTTATTTTTTAATACAAATTCCATTATATTAATGTATACTAACCATTCAACTTTCATGGTTCTAGAGAAAATCTTATTAAATATATATAGTAGAAAACTTATAAATTAATATTCAATAAATTAATAAATTTTATAAATCAATAAATTTCCTTAGTTCTAAACCCTAAGATCATTTTAAATTTTTTTTTTTATGTAAATATACAATTCTATTAATACTATAAATTACTAATTATCATAAAATAATTGTATGGGATTCAATTTATTTTCTTAAAATTGATAACATCGTTTTTATCTAAAGTTAATATGTTATTTAAAGAAAACACATTTTTCATGAGCAAGTTATTATTGTATATATCATTTTTTCTTTTAAAAATGAGTTAAATTTAAATAATATTACAAATATTAATATATTCAACTGAAAGAATCAGCTTATAGAATAAAATTATATTAATATTACCCGCGCTATGCTGCGGGATATTTTTTAAATTTTGTATATATTTTTAATATAATAAAATTATTTTTATAATATAAATGAATATTATATTTTTTTCATTAGCTTAAGTTATGTATTTATATGTTTTAAATCTATATAAACATTTTATATTTTTTTATTTATTTATTTTTTAAAATTATAATTTGCTATTAAATTTAGTTAGCTAACTAATTATAAATGTATATTAGGAATAAAATATATAAAAATAAAGCAATACATTTTTAGTACCTTCATGCTAATGGCAAATGTAATCTATTTTCTCCAATCAATTGCCACATGATCCTTCTTTGTAATTATATAAAGTAAAATGTCATTAAAAAAAGATTTATTAATTAATATAATTATTTTGAATTATAAAATTTATTTATTTATAAAATATTTTATTATAAATATATGTTTCTAAAACTACCAAACTATAATCAATAACGTTCATATCAAAACCATTGCTATTGCTTTAGAACTAAATAAAAAATTATGTTTGAACTCTTAAAATATAGTTTTAGTTAAAGTTAAATAATTAAATTTTGGTTACTGTAAACATACTTTAACTTGAAAATTTAGCACAGAGAAATTTTATTTTCTTACAAAAATCGAGATATCGCATTTTCCATCAAAACAAAAAAGATATTATTTTCCCATTAAACTGAGAAATTGGCTATTCCCGCCAAAACCAAAAAATTCCCACGAAAACAAAAATTTCTCGTCAAGCCCAGAATCACGCTTTCCTACAAAAATAAATAAACTATAATTTCCCGCGAAAACTAAAAAATTGTTATGTTTTTATCGGTTCAAATTTTTGCTGATGTGTGAGCTTCTTATAACATAAGGCTTTTTGTGTTGTTGTCATGGAAACATCGTTGATGTTGAGCCTACACTTTTTCAATCATATACGTCTATGTCAAACAAACTGATAGCTATAATTTTTTTTTATTATTTTTTTGTTGTTATTTATTATTTAGATTTAATTTTGGCAAAAAAAAGAAAACAATGATTTAACTTTTTATTTGTTTTTATTTATTATTTGGGTTTAGATTTGGCAAAAAAATAAAATTATTAATTATTTGATTTTGGGTTTGGTAAAAAATAAAACAAAAATTAATAGAAAAAATATTTGGATTTTTAATGGGTTTAAGTTTAAAAATTAAAATAAGTAGATGAGATGTATTAATAAAATGTTTTGATTGGTGGTTATTTTTGCTGAGGTGTCATGTTTATAAAGCTTAAAAAAGCTGAGGTGTCAAGCCATAGAGAGACTTTAATGTTATTGTTGTATTGATTCTTTATTCCTTTTTACTTTTACTTTTTGCTTTGTTTGTTTTGTTTTTAATATTTTGGTTTATTTTTTGAGTCTATTACAGATTCGAGTTTTTGTGATACATTAGAGCTATTATAGAATCGAGTGGATGGGGTATGGAGAAAGCTTTACGAAGGTTGTTCTAAATACTTCTATGCTCTTGTGATATTGATGATCCTTGCGAGTTTTGGAATACTATGATTTATTTATCGTGGCTTTAAGGTCTACGGTTTGTTTTGAGATTTATGTTTTATTATGGTTGTAGACCAAGAGATCTGCTCTGAGTTCTAATTTGTTTTCGTTTCTCTATTCTCTTTCTATTTTATTTGTTTGTTAAACTTGTGTTACTGAATTCTTTTGGTTAGTGTTTCACTTATATGATTATGCCTCCGATACGTGGTTATGTGTCGCCTATGTGATCTCGAGCAAAGCAAACAATGCAATCCTTTTCTATAAGATTTGTATTTCTGAAATTTGTATTTTATTTTCAGTTAAGATTTTATGTTGCTTATATATATATCCGCGGTAGTATTCTTATCATTTAATCATATAAATATATAGATATAGATATAGATATAGTTGCGGCGACTCTTTTAAAAAATAAAGGTAAAAAATTTAATATGTTGGTTAGTTATTAAAGTTGTCTATGTTACTAAAAATTGGCTAATCTCTAAAAATCTCTTACATTTTTGTTTTTTCTCTAAATCTATGTGCTTTCTGAATTTTTTTAACGAATTATCACGAATGAGATAATGGATCAGTTCTTCGGCAAGATTGGATTTTAAGTTTGACAGTATCAACGTAGCTCATATCTAATTTTCTAATATATTTAAACATTGATATATAGTCTAAATATTTTTAAAAGAGATATATTTGATTAAATTTAAAATAGCTAGGAATTGGAATCATATAGGATTTGAGAAGAACATAGGAGGACAAGTGTATGAAGCAGTGAACATGTTTTGGTAACCAAAAAATTTTGATCGATATAAAAAAAAAAAGATGGAGAAAAATCTTGAAGGTATATACAATAAGAGAACAACAGAGAGAAAAAGAGAAATTGAAGGATGACAAAAAACAAGACAAAATTCCTTTATAATATTTTGTATTTGTTTTTCATAAGGCAGAAGGATTACAAAGAGCAGGAATTGACTGGCTACTGATGTTGTATTGGTGATGAGAGACATAATTTATAATTATGTGTAAAAGATTATTCATTATTGATGAAATTGTGGAAAACGATAAAATAGTAAAAAAAAAAAATAGATAACAAAGTTGAAAACAAATAGCAAAATGTGGAAGAAAAAACTAGAAAAGAAAAAGACTAAATAAAAATAAGAAATTAAATATGAGAGCAGAGATGAGATAAATTTAAAACATATAAATTGAAAATTAGAGAAGACAACATAAAGGAATGGAAAGAATTGAGAAAATTGAAAGAAATGGAAAAAAATGTCTTAATGAATATGAAGATGATTCATATGAAAATAAATAATAAGAGCATGTGAAAAAAATGAAAGATAAAAACGAAGAAGATGTACACAAAAACAAACAAAACCCAAGATAAAAAGAAGAAGATGAGATTGTTGAATAGAAAGAAGAAAACTCGAAAGTAGAAGTTGGAGAAAAAAATAAAAAAGAGTAATAGAAAAGGAGAAGGGCCATCTAGCATTTTTATGGAGACCAATATGATTAATACAATCACTAAAATTACACACAATGTTCTCAGCAAATGTTTAATTATGTATATCAATATCGCGATCAATATATTTAAAATGACAATACGGTTTCACGTACTATAACGATCATAATAATTAATAATATATCTAAAATACCAGATTCATTGTTTTGCCGTCTTAGAACCTTTACAACCCACAAAATTTTTTACATAAAACAAAGATCAGACAACATTAAAAAGTCACAAAATAACATCGATTACAAGAACACAATTATGAAGCTGAGTAAACTAAAATTTATAACTAAAAACGTACTTGTGCAAAACAATGCTATAGGACTCGTTCTTGAAGAAGATACAAGAGATCATGTGAACACATCATAACCAACACAAATATCAACTACAAAAACATGAATAAAGAATACAAAATTAAGAGTAAATCGATGGGATATAAAATACCTAAGAGGTAGCAAGCCATTTATAGCATAAAAGATTATGGTTTTTTGTTTGCTAGGTATAACCAAAAAAATTGTAGGCGGCCCCTAAAACTAAAAAAATTAACAATATTAAGCATATAATTATGAAATTAATATTAAATCAAATTATTTTAATTAGTTAATTTCATTAAAGGTAATTAAAATCAATTTATATGAAGAGTAAAAAGTAATCAACCACTATAATTCTCAAACACAGCACAACTTGTTTGCCAATTAATAATATGATAAAATTATGATAATTTATCAAAATATGAGTATATTATTATTTTTATATTAAAATTAAAATATTTTTATAATTTATCTTTAATTCTATAGTAAATGTTTGAAAAATAATATTAATTCTTTAAAAAAATATTATTTGTAGCAGGTTGTGGCTGGCTAATTGACCCATGTAATAGCACATGCATCTCTCATCTGCATACTCTTGCTCTTTACCATCCACTATACTCCTTGGTTTCACATTTCATATATAGTTACGTACTTTGTAGGATCAGTTGCTTAGTTTACGCTGTCTTTCTTTTCACGTATAGTAAGATAAATGCAGAGACAAAGAGAATCATGTTTATTTCATATTCATTACTAAACTAAAGTCGTTTGGGCTGCTTCAAAGAAGTCTTTTGGCATTATAAATTTAATTTTAAAACTCGTAGCGGTACATTAGTTTTATAAAAAGTTTAGAGGAGGACAACGAGAACTGCCAATGCATGCTTCTTTGGTGTTAAAACACAACTTTAGATTTTTAAAACAGCACCAACAATCTTTTTGAAAAAAACTCTCACACTGGGAATGGACACATTTTGGAATGTAGAGCTTGCTCGAACTCTCTATTTCTCTAACATCCATCTGCATGCCTACACATTTGTAACCACACATCATTAACCAAACATTTACAATGACAAAAATAAAGAGACAAGACAACAGTTGTCAAACATAGGAAGAAACATATACTGCACATACACTGATGTAAAGCAAGGAGAGAGAGCATGAATATGCATATGAAAACTGTCTGTGATTTCATCTTTTTCTTGTCTCGATCTTATGATATGTTACTCTTGGTAGTATTCTGATTTTGTTACAGTATGTGATTGTTTATCTTCATATGTATAGACTTAATATTCAAATGAAGATCTTGTATACGATATTGTACCATATCTCGCATCATGTTAAAGAGGTAAAGAAATTTTTGGTTTGACTTCCCGGAATAACTTTCGATTACTTGCCAATTAGTTTAGTCAACAACTCTGGATTTTCAAAATTGTGAAACTTTCTTTTGACCATACTCTATGCATGCATGATTTTCAGTTATGCTACGCATATATATAGAGTAGCAAAAATAAAATAAAACAATTTTAGTCTATATCGAAAAACTCTTGAACTTCCTAAAACAATGAATTCACGAACTATTAATATCGTGTAAAAATTTATAATGTTTCAGCTGGTATTTTTATGAAAAAGGCGCTTCTACCTATTTAACTAGGGATGTTTACGCGCGACGCGCGGATTGTTTTTATATAGATATTTGATTATTATTTAAGTTAAATTATTTTTACTTTAAGTTAATATTTTAAATATAATTTTTAATTTTTAAAATTGTTTTGATATGATTATACATCAAAAAAATTTTAACGTATTCAAAAAATGTATCATGATATAATTTTCAGAATTACCTACTTGATATATGCTAAAATTAACTGTTAATCTAAAACTTAATATTTGTATATAAACTCACTGTTATTTACTACTAACTTTCAAAATATTATTAAAATTATTTTTGTTTTGACTAAATTTGATTATTATTGTTCTAATTAATTTAGATTTTTATTTTTATTTCAACTATGTTCGTGTAGTGTTTTTATTTAATTAGAAATCTCAAATACAAACAAAACTCAATAGTCTAATCTCTTATAAATCTATAAAATAACTATGATTCATATAAATAAAAATAATATTTACATAGTATAAAAAATCACAATCATATTGATAAAATGTAATTTTGATTTGGTCTATGAAGTATATGTAAACTATAAAAAATATAGATGAATAAGACAAGTAATACATATACAAATACAATTTCATACTAACTCATTATGTTAAATAAAGTATGTTGAGTTTCTCAAAACTCAAAAGATGTAAAAAATTTTGCTTGTAATTTAACTTAAACATTTTTTCTTAAACTACACATATATATTTTGATGAGCCTTTATAATTAAACTAATAATATATATTATATTATTTTTAAAAGAGTTTCTTAACCCAGTAAAAAAAAACCATATTAGCTTTTCATTAAAGTTGGGTTTATAAGGAATTTTGTTGATGTGGATAATTAGAGATTTTTTTAGACATTTTCTTCTACATAAAAAATGTGTATGTTATTTTTTCAAAAATGCATTATTATTTAATTTAAAAATTTACTAACTTGATATATATAAAAATTAACTGTCATCTAAAACTTAATTTTTGTTTATAAACTGTTTAACTCGTGTGTTGACATGTATCGCTTGTAGTAACTTGACTACCTTAAGCCAACTAAGACACATATTGAATAAATATCAGTGCATGAAATTCTTCTTTTGTCTATCATTTTCTGCAATGTAAATAGTAACGATGATCGAAATCTTCATATAGATAGATGCTTTGAAAAGCTTCCTATAATTTCTGTTGTCTTGTTGGTTGCCTTAAATCTAACGTACTATGATGTTTAATCTGTATGTTTCTAAAAGGTTAATGTTTTAGATTTTTATAATTTGTAAATGTTTTAAATTTTATTTTAGAAATTATTATTTTGTAATCTTGTTTCTATTAACTATTATTTAATTTTTTTAGAGCAATTTGTTGTCCAATATATTCACTATATTACAAAAAGGAGTATATATTAATGCTACAGATTTAAATGATATTTATTTTACTGATTTAGAAAATGATATTTAGTTTTATTTACTTATTCCTAATAACTATATTAACTTAGTGGTTCTATTTATTTAGTTTATGTGTATTTCAAAAGATATAAAGTGAATTTTTTTATTATTGTTATATTACAAACAAAAGAAGTATATATTGATGCTATAAATTTAAATGATGTTTATTTTACTGATTCAAAAAATGATATTTTAATTTTATTTACTTTTGTTGGTAACTATATTAAATTTAGTGACAAAAATGAGTATATATTAATGCTACAGATTTAAATGATATTTATTTTACTGATTAAAATGATATATAGTTTTATTTAGTTTTTGCTAATAACTATATTAATTTAATGGTTATATTTATTTATTTTATGTGTATTTCAAAAAATCTAAAGTGAGAATTTTCATTATTGTTAATTTGTTATATTACAAACAAAAGAGTATATATTGATGCTATAGATTTAAATAATATTTATTTTACTGATTCAAAAAATAATGTTTTATTTTTATTTACTCTTGTATTTAACTATATTAATTTTGGTTCTATTTATTTACTTTATGTGTATTTCAAAAAAATCTAAAGTGAGAATTTGTATTATTATTTTTTGCTGATGTGTCATATTTTTAGAATAGTTTGAAAAGCTGAGGTGGATAGCTTCAGGAGCCCCAAATAGTTCATTTTATTTAGTATAGATATTCTACTTTCCAATGGTAAAAATAGCATGCAATTATTTTACGAGAATGTTAACATGTATTAATGTATGCGAATATCAACATTAATTTACACTAATTACATATCTCTTACTGAATAAAGGTGAATATAGTTAGGAAATTGTAGAAAATATTTTATAAACAAATATAGGGAAAAAGAAGAGAGGATGTTATATCACTAATATATAATAAGAAGAGAAAATGTTATAATGTATTATTATTACTATGTTCCACATAATTATTTTTTTAAAAAATTTTAACTATTTTTTTTTAATTCTTTGGTAAAAAAAAGTATGCTTTAATTCTGCCCTTTTTGGGTTGTATCCCTTCCCTTTTGTTGTTTATTTAGTTCTATTTTTTGTATTTTCTTTATTAAATCTTTTACCATTAATAAAAAATTATTAAAAGATTCGATAGAAACTTCTGATGGATTGTTTCACATGTAGTAACGCTTTGATAGAGCGTAGTGAGACAATTAGACACGGTCAAACCCAAAATGAAGCTCTAAGTTATAGTTTGAGAAAAGATACAGCACGAAGAAGATAAGCGGATAAGGTTGTCGGGACAGAGAAGAAAGGACAATGGTCACTCTCCTCCAAGGTATAGAACTGAGAAGGTGGCCCCTTCTCCACAAAACGATCTTGACGCAGAGAACTGACTATATTATCTTTACCAGTCTTGATGTAAACTCTAGGAACTTGCTCTGCTTTAGGGTTTGGAGGCAGCTTATCAACACCTAGCAAAGCCCTTACCGGAGCAGGTCGCAACAGCTTAGATGCCAAAGTTACATCCTACCAACAAAAAGGCAACAACCATAAGTATATTTTAGTCACCATATTATAATATATTAGTCTTGAAACATGATTTGTGAAGTACGTAGTTAAGAGAGTAACCTCAAGAGGGCTTTGGCTATAGTAATGTTGGTGTCTAAACTCCTCCTTCATGAGCACGCCAGTGGGTGGCTTATCAGGGCCTTCACCGTATGTTATCTCCCATATGTCTTCTTCTCCCACAGACTTCTTATTCACAAGAATTTAATACCAATTAAAATTATGTCACATAAAAAACCAATTATATATCAATGAGTAGATTTGTCGATGTCTTGTTATATATATATATCTACTTTCTAGAGATAGTTCTGAAAAGAATCGCTCACGATTGAACTATTCGAAGAAGAGGTGGATCCGGGTTGGACCATGTCAGCCGCGAGGTAAACAGCCATGGAGATTTTGTCTGGGAACTTGCATAGAGCTGCGGTGATACTTCCTCCGCCGGCGCTATGTCCCACGAGTATGATCTTGTGGTGAGGAGGGAGATCGGATAAGAGAGAGAAGAGAGGACGGTTATAGTGGTCGAAGTCGAAGACGGAGTTAGGGTCGGCGAGGTTGATGCCAGCGCCGGTGAGGTCGACGGAGGTGGCTTTGAATCCGGCGGAGACAAGAAGAGTGATGAGTTTATACCAACACCAACTACCGTGGCTGGCTCCATGAACTAACACAAAGTGAATCACGGAGTCACCACCACCATCTCCTCCCATCTCTATCTATATACGTTTATACGTAACTGTAATCCTCATATGTACTTAACACAAACTGAATGTTGTTTGGTCTAGAGAAGGATAAGATCTAAAGATATTGTAAAAATTATGATAAGATATTCTAGAGATTTGTATCTTTATAGAGTAATTTACCTACACACTAATATTGTATTGACTAGATTAACATCCTTTTTCTGTAAGAGAGTAACTAGAATACTTTTAGAAAGTTCGGGAAAGACAACATAAACCAAATTTTGGTTGAAATAATAATAATGCTATTTTGATAGTATAAAAAAAAAACAAAGAAATAAGATTAAAAAATGATAAGAGAAACAACAAGAAGGAAAAAAAGAAACATAACACAAACATAAAGGAAAAACTTATGTAATTTCTCCACGGTGATGCGATTTATCCATTTAAACAAAGTCTCTCTATCTCCGGCGGAGTTAGAGGCAAGGTTGGTGTTGTTGATACAACTTTGATCGATTGCTATTCTTGTTTCTTCAATTTGGTTGTGTCATCCGACAATCTTTATGTGTTATACTTACATAAGATGAGGACAATAGTTATAGCCCATAACTTTAAAAACTTGATCATATTTTTCAACAAAGTTTCAAAAGTTGGAATAAACTAAGCAACATTGATGGTCGCTATTTGCGTAACCGCATATTACCACTATCTAATAACACTATATATGTTGGACATAGTTGTAGACTGGAGATCACGCATGCATTACAAGCTCGAACTTGGTGAAGAAGTTCCGGATCCAAGAAAGAAATGCAAAGTGATAGTGTAGGTTGCCAAATGCTTGTAGAAAATTTTTCAAGATACAAGTTCAAACATATATTAATATGCTGTGAGGACTGCTACCTTTTTGTACATTATCAACTGCTAAAACCTGAGTTCTGGTGTAGTATATTTTCTGTAATCTAAGTTCTGGTGTAATATGGATTGATGACTCCATCTCTATGTACTTTCTGTGGATTAAGATCCTCTGTAATTGAAAGGGTCTTTGATAGTATTTGTGTCAAAATTCATGTTCAGACTCTTGTTTATAATGTGTGCATTCTTATCACAAATGATATCTAATAACAACATACATAACTCAAAATGGGGTGATGTTATCCAATTTCAATGTAATTCAAGTTTTGCAAATATGGTAGATTTAAATTTATATGTTTAAAAGTCAAATGTCTTCTATTAAAAAAGGAAGTCTACCATAACATGATCACTATAAATCTACCATAACATATGACCGTTTCATTGTTAATTAGTTTTGAGTTTGGTTTAACAACAATGTGCGAACGTTACTGTGCCTGTCACATATCCCAAAATGATTACGGGGTTAAACAAAGTCCAGTATCTTTTTGGCTATTGATAAAAACAAGACGTGAACTTCAATAAAAATCACTTCGTTGGGAAAATAAATAAAGAGATCGAAAAATTATGCTCATATGATAGTGGTTCTTCTAATTCGAGACGTCTTCTTTGCTATCATATATGATTCATACATGTACATATCTTATTTTTATTTTCTTTTGGTGAACTGTTAAGAAACAAAAATCAATACTCTTATTGATGATAAGGAACGGATTATAAATGTAGGATTACAATCTCAATTAGCAACTAGATCAAAAACAAGCTCATCACGCTCTGTTCAACAACAAAATTAATTTCTGGATAAAGCTAATAATAGAGAAAGATATTATTCTACTTAGAGAAATGACTCATTCATTAAACTTCTGTCTTCAGTCAAACTCTTTTGGTTCACTCGAGCTTTACGTAAACCAATCATTCTGCCCGCTCAGCTGCCAACTCGACATGTATCTTTTCCCCTTAATAGTTTTGTTGTTTGAGATTCATCTTCAACAAAGATACATTGGAAAAGACCATGTTCAACGGGAAAGTTCTTACGAAAAATTCTTACATATATTATATTAATATAATATAATTATAATATTAATCTTTAAATATAAAAATAATTAGACCAATAATATAATGCCACATACTTTTAAAGTATTTTAGTATTATTAGAAATAGTCTCTTAATTTCTTGAATAAAAGCTATATTTAACTCTCTCTCATTCTTTCTCACAGTTTTAATACTTTTTTTATGTTTAGAAACACACTTAAAATATTGCATTGCACATGATCTAATTCTGATACAGTGATAGTGATTCCTCGCGGACTGCATTGTCGTCTGTCTATCTTCTTCCTTCCGTTTGTAATAGTACGTTTGATGCAGCTTATCAAGAACATGTACATATCTTGCTGAATAAAGGCTAATGTAGTTAGAAATTGTAGAAAATATTTGAGAAAAAAATCTAGGGGAAAAGAAGAGAGGAGTTGGGTAGTATCTCTTCCCTTTTGTTGTTTATTTAGTTCTATTTTTTGTATTTTCTGACAATTATAAAAAAAAATTATTAAAAGATTTGATAGAAACTTCTCATTGATTGTTTCACATGTAGTAAAGCTTTCATAGAGTGTAGGGAGGATGAGACATGGTCAAACCAAAAATGAAGTTAAAGAAAAGATACAGCACGAAGGAGATAAGCGAATAATGTAGTCGGGACAGAGAAGAACGCAGAATGGTCACTATCCTCCAAGATGTAGAACTGAGAAGGTGGCCACTTCTCCACCAAACGGTCTTGACGCAAAGAACTGAATTTATTATCTTTACCAGTCTTGATGTAAACTCTAGGAACTTGCTCTGCTTTAGGGTTTGGAGGCAGCTTATCAACACCTAGCAAAGCCCTCACCGGAGCAGGTCGCAACAGCTTAGATGCCAAGATTACATCCTACCAACAAGCCAACAACCACATATATATAATGTATTATAGTATACGTAGTATTAATGAAACATGATTTGTGAAGTAATTATGAGAGTAACCTCAAGAGGGCTTTGGTTATAGTAATAATGGCGTCTAAACTCCTCCTTCATGAGTACGCCAGTGGGTGGCTTATCAGCGCCTTCACCGTATGTGTAGTCCCATATGTCTTCTTCTCCCACAGACTTCTTTATAATTTTCACAACAACAAGTGGATTTGTCTATGTCTTTTTTTTCTAACAAAAAAATAGAGAAAATGAGATCTGAAACGAGTCACTCACGATTGAACTATGAGAAGATAAGGTGGATCCGGGTTGAACCATGTCAGCCGCGAGGTAAACGGCCATGGAGATTTTGTCTGTGAACTTGCATAGAGCTGCGGTGATACTTCCTCCGCCGATGCTATGTCCCACGAGAATGATCTTGTGGTGAGGAGGGAGATCGGACAAGAAAGAGAAGAGAGGACGGTTATAGTGGTCGCAGTCAAAGACGGTGTTGGAGTCGGTGAGGTTGATACCAGCGCCGGTGAGGTCCACGGAGGTGGCTTTATATCCGGCGGCGACGAGAAGATTGATGAGTTTATACCAACACCAACCACCGTGGGAGGCTCCATGAACAAACACAAAGTGAATTACGGAATCACCACCACCGTCTCCTCCCATCGCTCTCTCTCTCTCTCTCTCTCTCTCTCTCTCTCTCTCTCTCTCTCTTTCCGTTTGTAGGTATCTCGAAGGCTCTAACTCTAATCCAACTTAAGTTTACAAACAAAAGTGAATGGCCCACAGTTTGGAGATAACGATTACAACCCCAGCCTATTTCCTTAACAAACGCCTGGGACAATCACAAAACTAATTTCTCACACACACACTCCAAAAGTAAAAAACGCAAAAAAAAAAAGATACTGTTACGTATATGGAAAGTTGGAAACAACCAATACCACACACACACGCACAAAAAGACGTGAACGTGGTATCTATTCTAGAATTAAAAAAAATATTACGGCTTTAAATGGGCTATTAATGGTGACCATTTAAAGAAAATAGCAAAAAAAGAAAAAATAAAAAGGAATAAAATATTAAGAATGAATACAAATGAAATCAACACAACAATAACCCATAATTCTTTACATGACTTGACACATTAGCATTTTCAAGCTTTTAGGAGTACACTTCAGCAAAAAAAAAACACCAATGAAAACATTTCATTAATACAAGTCATCAATTTATTTTAATTTTTAAATTTAAACCCATTAAAAACTCAAATATTTTTTATTGTTAATTTTAGTTTTATTTTTTGGTCAAGCCCAAACTCAAATAATAAATAACAGCAAATAATTTTTTTTTTTCTTTTAACAAATCCAAATAATAAATAACAACAAATAATAAAATTAAATCTTTGTTTTATATTTTTGCCAAACCGAAACTCAAATAATAAATAACAGCAAAAAAAATTAAAATTTCTAACTATGTGTTTGCTTGATAGAGACGTACATGATTGAAGAAAGTGTAGACTCATCATCAACTATGTTTCCATAACAACAATGCAAAAAACGTTATGTTATAAGAAGCTCACACATCAGCAAAAATTTGAACCAATAAAAACATAACAATAATACATATTATTAACATACTAATAAAATCAATTTACTATTTTGCTGACCCATTAAAAAGCCCAAAGTTTACGAAAAAAAAATGGAAGGCGAAAGCAAATGAGGAGAAACTCAGACCACAACAGCTTGGAGATTCGCATTTCCACTGGTTACCGAGAACAAATTTTCTTGGGTTTGGCGGAAATAGAGAATTTCTTGGTTTTGGTAGAAAAATGTGATTTTCAGTTTTGGTAGGAAGCATAGTTTTTCGGTTATGGCGGAAAAAAGCGAATTCTCGGGTTTGGCAGCAAAATGTGAATTTTTGGTTTTAGTAAGAAATAAAAAATTTGATTTTGACGAGAAAATGCGAAAATGCAACTTTTCAGTTTTGACGAAAAATACGATTTCTCGGTTTTGATAGAAAATACAATTTTCGGATTTTGATGAATAATGTAATTTCTTAATTTTTGCAGAAAATTGTAATTTGACAATTTTGGTAGAAAATGCAATTTTTCGGGTTAATAGAAAAGCAAAATTTCTCGATTTTGGCAGGAATAAACAATTTATTGGTTTTGATGGGAAATGCAAATTTTCAGTTTTTGACATATAATTTGATTTTTGGTTTTCGAGGGAAAATATGATTTCTTAGTTTTCGTGGGAAACGCAATTTCTCAGGAGATGATGCAATTTTTGGTTTTTGCAGAAAATTGTAGTTTATCGGTTTTGGTAGGAATGCGTGATTCTTGATTTGACGAAAAAAATAATTTTTTCTTGTTTTGGTGGGAATAGACGATTTCTCGATTTTTGCGGTAAAATAATTTTTGGTTTTGACGGAAAAATACTATTTTTTGTTTTTGCAGGAAGATGAAATTTTTTTGTTTTGGTGAAAAAACTTGATTTTTCTGTTTTGACGGAAAAACACAGGTTCTCGCGGGAAAATGTGATTTTTTGGTTTTTGAGGGAAAATACAATTTCTTTGTTTTGGTAAGAAAATGAAATTTCAGGTTTGACGAGAAAATGAATTTTTTTGGTTTTGGCGGAAATGCAATTTTTCGGTTTTTGTCATAAGATAAAATTTCTCTGTGCTAAATTTTCAAGTTATAATATGTTTATAATAACCTAAATTGAATTATTTAACTTCAACTAAATTGATATTTCAACAGTTTAAATAGAACTTTCTATTTAGTTCTAAAGTAATAGTAATGATTTTGATATGAATGTTATTGATTATAGTTTTGGTAATTTTAGAAACATATGTCTATAATAAATATTTGATAAATAAATAAATTTTATAATTTAAAATAATCATATTAATTAATATTTTTTTAAATGACAATTTACTTTATATAATTTCAAAGGAGGATCAAGTAGCAATTTAGTAGAGAAAATAAATTACATCTACCATTAGCTTGAAGGTACTTAAAAATGTATTGTTTTATTCTTACATATATATTTATAGATAGTTAGCTAAACAAATTTGATAGTAGATTATAATTTTAATAAATAAAAAAATTAATGATATATAATGGTTATTCAGATTTAAAACATATAAATACATAATTTAAGCTAATAAAAATAAATATAATACTCATTTAAAATATATAAATAATTTTATTATATTAAAAATATATACAAATCTAGAAAAATACCCCGCAGTATAGCGCGAGTAAATACCTAGTGTATATAAAAAAAACAAAAAAAAATAGTTCTTGTTTCTCCACAAATTTAATAAATACTACTTTTTTAATAATTCTCAACAAAATAAAAAATGTAAACGAATTAATTATTACTCCTACTCTTTATTATTTTGGTCATCATAATACCATAGATCCTTTAATAAAAATAATAATTTGACTTATGGAGTCATGGGATCTAAAATTATGACGCTCATATAGTTGCTGAGTGGTTCTAATTGAATTCCTTGTTGCTATATATGAACTATACATGAACGTGTCTCATTGTATAAATTTAATCTAGTTAAAATATTAATTTTATTATTATTGTTATGGTTCTAATTGAATTCCTTGTTGTACCTCTTTATTATTGTTATTTTTTCCCCTTATTAAATGAGTCCAACAGTTGACAAAAAAAAAAAAAAAAATGAGTCCAACAGAATGGACTGGTTTGACACATCTGTTAGAGCAAATGGTGGCTCAGTGTTCGCTCGTTAAGAACTTGTATTGGTAATGATAAATTGGGCCGTAAAGTAAAGGCCCATTATAAGTAGTGAGAAAAAAGCAAAAAGAGACTCACCTGACAAATCTCACCGGAGAGAAGTCTAGATCTCTTCTCTCTACAAGCTCGTCACCGGCGAAAAAGCGAAAGGCGAAATCCTCTTCTCCGACGTTATAATGCCGGTAAATTACCTGTTCAATGTCTAATTCTGGATCTCAAATATTTGATTTCCGTTTTCGTTTCCCTGGTTTTGGCCGTCGTTTTGTCCCGATTTCTTGCTGATTCCGACTTGTCTTCCCGCGTCCTGCGGATTTTCAGTTCAAGGCGGTGGTAGAAGTGGAACCTCCGAGTCTGCTGCGGTACTTGATCGGAGCGGCGGTAATGATGATCGGCGTCGTATTACCCGTTGGTTACATGATGTTCCGTAACAAGCGCGTCCCCTTCTCTTCATCGTACTCTAAACAGACGTAGGTGTGCTTTTTCTTTGACTCTCTGTGTTTCTTTCTATCTGATCTGCAAAACGCTCACAGCTTTGGGTAGCTTCACGTTTTAGGGAAAGTTATATTCACAATTCGAATCAGTTGTTGGTTCCACTGTACAGGGAGGTGTATTAGAATGATCAAAGATAAAGTATTGTATCAAATTTCGTGTGTAGGAGATGAGTAACCATTATTTTTCGCTGAATGTTGAAGCTGAAGTTTGCTAAAATGTTGAATAAGTCAAGAGAACTGAATTAGCATTGTTCCTTAAACCGTACTATTTGGGAATGTGATTCAGTGATCAAACTTGGATTAGAGGCAATTGAGGTTGAAGAGATGTAAATGATCTGTTTACTTCTTTTAGAAATGTTAGCCCTTTCAATGCTATGTAGAGACTGAAAGCTTGAGTGTACTTTGTGTTTGGATCGAGTTCAGGTGGGGAATCCATGGTTGATAGATGATCAAATATTATCGTTAAAGCTTGTTTAGGCTATAAAAGGAAGGTGTGATCCTTTTGCTAAGTCAAAGTAACTCTGTGAGTTTATCATCCGCACGGATTGGTACTAATAATCTGATGTACTTATATTTACTTGCAGGAACAAAGTTTTAATATAGAAAGCCAGAGGCTGCAGTTGAATTCAACTGGATTGAGAAGGATGATGACCTATTGATATGGACGACTGTAAAATTATGGGGGAATTCTTGTTTTTACGTGGGTTGTAACAGATCCTTCAATATCATCAGTTTCATAATCTAAAAATGTGAGTACGGTTTCGTTAATCTTCTTGCTTAGGTTATTATTATTCAAAGTCTATTGTGTAACACAACCTCTTATTGATTACCATTCACTCGCTAGAGTTTTCGCGAAGTAATATTGAACCAAGTTCTTTGCTTAGGTTATATGGGTCTCTGTAGTAAGCACTGCATAATGGTGGAGATGTGATCCAATCATCCAATAGGTAGTATTACGGCAATTACAAAATCTGTTCATGAGTAGCCTCAAGTTGAGAGACGAGCATAAACACTTATAAGGAATTGATTTATGATTTGGTCAGATCGTGACAAGAAAAAGACAATAGTGGGGGATGTTGTTAGTGCATAATGCCATTGTACTCATTCCTCTTTCCACCTTCCCAATGCTTGTCCAACGCGAACCCTGTCTCCTTGTTTGACACAGAATCTGTAATCTGAGGAACTGCTTGAACCATCGGGTGAGTTTGTGGTTGGTGCTTGGAAAACAAGCACCACGGTCGATCCCATGTTAAATACTCCTACCTGCATCGTCGACCCATACGGCCATACATCAACCATTTACCAAATGATATGAATAAAGGAACTTTGTCACATTCTCTCCTTTGGACCAACTTACCTCCTTTCCTTTCTCAAGCTTGACGCCATGACCTTCTGGATCATACACACGCTCCTCTGGTGGCTCTGTTGGAAATAGCTTCTTCTTTGGCTTGTTTGTTTTTAGTTCAGGTTCGATGAAAAGCTGTGACAGCAAATGTCAGCTAGTTCGTTAATGTCCGAGGCTTAGGGAGTTAATTTTTCAGATTTTCATCACACCTACCTCAATGGATCCAATGTTGGTTGCACCAACAGCAGCAAGTGCCATAAAACCTTCTTTCCATATCCCTTCAAGCACAACCTGTTCTCAATTATATTAGCAGCTGATGATCAATGTCTGGAGATTAAACAAAAGGCCCAGAAATATTTGGTATGTTTGCTAAGAAACAAAGAAAAAATACCCTTTCATTTTCGACATAGAGATTCCTTATCGTTCTTGTAGCACGCTCGTTCACCGGAAACAACCGACCTGTAAATTTGATTAAGAGAGATATCAATAGTTGCAGAATCCCAACCACACATAGGCTGTCTACTTAAGTGAGAGAATAGACAGTAACAAAACCTGCAAAGTGACGACGAACCAATGCATTCCAGTCAGCCGGAGAGTGTATCCGATGATAGTCCCCTGGTCTTAGGTATATCACACAATAATAGAGCCCCTTCATTGGACTGCAACCAAAACTCAGATTTTATAAGCTTGTGGTCTTCTTCAAAGTCAATACGTAAGGATGATTTTTCACTGACCTAGCTGAGATGCTCTCCCGTAATTTCGGAGATGCCAAAGAGACTCTCAACCAAGACTTGTCGCCTTTATCTCCAACAGCTTCTTCTTCTTCTTCTTCTTCTTCAGGCTCATCCTTACCTTCAGGTACCATGGGAAGCAGAGAGTTGGTTCCGAGAAGAGCCGGTACTGAGTAAGAATGTCCTTTAACTTGCTCGATCATCCCTCTACTTTCTTTCAACTCTCCAAACCTTAGAACGGTGCCATCCACAGGACTAACCTGGTTTTCTTGAAATCTTAGAAAGCAAAACTAAAGAAAGAAACTCTGACATTAAAGGAAACGTTCTTGTTACCAGTTACCAGACAACGAGGATCGGGGTCGATAGGCCTGCAACCTTCTTTCAAGCTGCGAACAAAGAAATCACGTAGTGAAGCGTATTCTTCTAGAGGCAGAGCTGCTTCTTCAAGATCTGAACACACAGATAGATCAGTTTTGGGAATCACTCTCATAGTCATCTCATATGCATAAACGTATACAAGAACTAAGCGAGAGCATACTTGAATGGAAAGCCCGAGCCCAGGCTTTGTAAACAAAAGGCCGCATCCAGACCGGGATTTCCTGAGAAGGAAAAGGACCTAACAAGTGACAACCATGTTCAACAATAACCAGGAAGTGCTTCTACAAAGAAGAACTCACCAGGCTCGTCAAAGAACCCCATGCTCTTGACATCGAACGCAGAGGCAGAACTCCAAGGAACGAGGCCTAGAACAACCAACATGTCAAGATTTAGAAACTTATTAAGGCATTGAATCTGAAGAGAGAAAAAGAGAAAAAAAAAGGGTTTTTACTTTAACATCGTGGTGGAACTCATGTTCGATTCCTCTTTCCCGTTTCTCTTCGATCTGTTCATCAACCCATTCAAAAACCAATGCTAAGAAGAAGAAGACCTACAAAATCTATTGAGAGAAACTAACCGATGTCTCTACAATGCGAGTGACATTACCTTCTTGTCTTCATAGAGCCTCCGAGCGTGAAGAGCTCCAAGCATGAGTATAGTAGCCATTGTTGCTCCGGGCAAGAGAAAATCATTGCCTACATTACCGTTTTGACGTTAAATATATATATATATATATATATATATGTCAAATGATACAATAACAATGATTCAAGCTCAAAAGACGATAGGAATCTTCACAAGCGGTTTCTACAGAACAAATTTCTCACAAATTGTATTCTATAGCTTTCGTAGAAACCCAGAATCTTTGCAGTTGTAGTGAGTGACAGAAGCAAAATAAACGATGTAATTGAGCTCACGAGCGCCAAATCTAACTATGTAAAGGAGTTTAATAGATGTATATATATACCTTTGGAATCTCCGGTTCCACCTCCTCCGCCTCTACCGCTTCCGCCGAGAGACGAAGCGCGAGCGCAGAAGTGAGTCGAGCGGATATTGTTGACGAAAGAGCTTAAGGTTCGGCGATTACTTTGGTGGAAGCGGCGGAGATACGAATAGCGACCCAACAAATAGACATTCTGAGAAAATCGAGGTTTCATGGTGGTTTTCCAGTTGCAGAGAAACCGATTTTGGTCTTCGGGGTTTTAGGGTAAACAAAAACCTGTTGTTTTCGACGATAATCTAAACGACAGCGTCTTCCTGTTGAATCCAAGACAAACTATCAATTAATTAATTTGTTAAAATAAACGAAAACTTTACGGTAAAAAAGAATCTCTCTCTCTCTCTCAATTCATCATCCATCCATCACAAAGCAAGATTCTTGGATCTGCCTCTTAGTCCAATCGGCGCTTTCACTTCCCTCAGGTATGTATCGATCTCTGTATAAAATCTCAATTGCTTCTGTTTACATCATAATGCCCGTTTCTTAGGGAACTTCCCTCAATTTGGTAGATTTGGAAATCGACATTCGATTTTGCTTTCTTCTGGTCTTTGATAGTCGTGGTGACGCATAAACCCTAATTCTCAGAGACAAAATCGGGATGGAAGAAAACGGTGGGATTGCAAAGAGAGTAGTGTTTGTGACGGTGGGAACAACGAGTTTCGACGCTCTCGTGGAAGCAGTTGTCAGTGAGGATGTCAAAAACGAGTTGCAGAAGAGAGGATACACTCATCTTCTCATTCAAATGGGTCGAGGAATCTATTCTCCAACGAAGGTCTTTCATCTTCTTCACTCACTTCTCTTTGCTTTTGATGTGACTTGTGAGCAAAATAGTCTTTCGAATGCCTCTATCAAGCTTATCTTGTGAGTTTTGTTTAATTTTCTTACTACTGATCCAGTGTGATGGAGCAGATGGATCATTAGTCGTTGATTACTTCACATTTTCCTCGAGTATCGCAGACTATATTCGATCTGCATCTCTTGTTATTAGTCACGCTGGTGAGTTTTTTTTCTCATTTTATAACTCTGAGGCTCAGTTGCGAAAATGGCTTGAATGTGATCATCATCAACTCTCGATAATGCCAGGATCTGGAAGCATATTCGAGACGCTGAAGCTGGGGAAACCATTGATTGTGGTAGTGAACGAAGATCTTATGGACAATCACCAATGTGAATTAGCTGAAGCGCTAGAAGAGAGGAAGCATTTGTACTGCGCTCGTCCTCACACGCTTCATCAAGCCTTAGCGAAAATGGAGGTGGAGTCTCTGGTTCGATATACTCCAGGGGACGGAACACCTGTTGCCCGCATCATCGACAGGTTTCTCGGATTCCCTGATGAGTAAACAGATACATAAAAGCAAGTGTTTTGTCTCGAGACTCAACTGAATCTAAGCACTAAACAAGCGCTTTTGTCATTTAGATTCATAATAATAGCAAAGCTTAGTTTCACTAGTATAGAATCCTCGGTGCTTTTTTTCGTCAATTGTTTCAATCTGTATCAATGGATTGACGATTTTTAAAAATTTATCTGTGTTATGACAGCGGAAATCAAATTCAGCTATAGATTTTTTGATGCTAATGGGACTAACTGTTTAATTTTATGGAACATGAACATGAAATGATCTTCAAGACGTCCATGTTGTGAAATGGGTTGTATATGCAAAGAACAATTAGATAGAACCTTTCAAAAAGCACGCAAATATGAAGCATAGGGTAATAACTTGAACGCAAGTTTATAATCTCCAAAATTTTGCAAAAAACAAAAGTCGTCATCCTGTGAAAAGATAAAAGCAGCGCAACAACATGGAATATAGAAGTTGATGATAGCAGTCGTAATAATAAAAATAGCAAAAGGCGATCAACGGTAACGACGAAGGGAGAGAGTTGTTCTTCTTCCATGTAGCTCTCCAAGACCGGCGGTTCTTGTGGTTCCTGTGACCCTTTCCGCGCAATCCTCTGTTCTTCTTTCCCTCCGAGGTAAGTCCTTTGAGCTCACGGTGGGTTGCAGATCCAGTTGATCCTCGGGTCATTGCGCACAGCGTTGTGTGCCGGGTCAACCAAGATGATCTCGTAGTACTTGTAGGTCGAATCCTGATTCGAGACTTTGAGAAGTTAATAACTATATGGAGAATCGCCTACTCATGGAACAGAGAGAGAGAGAGTACCAATTATCTATCAGCTCATGGTAGAATCTAGGATTATCATATGAGATGTTTCATTGGGCAGAGACTACGACGAAAATTTTGTTCGTATCACTTTTTCCAGGGCAGTTGGAAAGGTTGAGGCGAGCCAGGGCCGAGAA